CTCCCCGTGTGATAACGTCCTCAGCCTCAGAGGATGGCAATGGCCAACTACCTCTGAAGAAATTTGGTCACAAAAACCCCATGATAGGGTTGCCATAAGTTGGAAATGAACTTGAAGACACACAGCATCTCCCGATAAGGCATGGGAAGGGATCGTGCGGCTTTCCTGATGTTGTTGGATTGCAACTCCCAGCAGCCCCAGAGTTCTTTGGGCTGAATATCTCAACAAATAAAACCCCAGGATTCTGTAGGATAGTGTCATGATGGTTCAAAGTGGCCTCAAACTGCTTTAACGCCTCTGTTCAGCTGCACCCGTGGCCCCAAATTAGGACTTTTTAAAGCCCCCCTCCCCTTTTTATTTCTTGGATAGGAGGCCGTGATGTTTTGAAGGGGGAGAGGGCAGACCTTTCCCCCCTTTTCTTCCAAACCCACATCCATGCCAGCTGCCTCTTCGCTGGGCCGCTCAAAGGCTGCGTTGTGTCAAAGGCACATCCCACTCCCACATTCCCAACGCTGGAGCAACACCAGCTGGAGTCAATTAAGCTGCATTTCGGAGGGACTTTCTGGGAAAATGGCCCAGACAGCAGTGGCTTGACTGTTTGCGTTCAGTCCCCGCCAGGCCTTCTTGTGAAGACAAAGGGAATGCTGCATGGGCGCATGGAGAAGCATGAACCGCAAAGGGCTCTCCTCATTGCCATCATACTGGCCTCTGGGACCTCTGCATTTAGGAAGCAATTAGAGAGGGATCAATGCATTTTGGCCTCTCCAGTCTCGGTATGGGCAAGACCAGAATCTGCAGGGGCTGCTCAAGTCAAGAGTTGGAAGGGACCCCAAAGGCCATCTATTCCATCCCCTTGCCAGGACAGGCTGACGGGGGTTGCAGACTGCCAGAAATAGTGCAAATTGAGTCCACTTTTAGGATTAGGGTTAGGGCATCCTGGGAACTGTATTTTATTGTGGCACTAGAGCTCTCTGACAGAGAAGGCTCAATGTCTCAGAAAAAAGAATTCCCATGATTCCCTAACACTAACACTAACTCTTAAAGTGGACTCAATTTGCACTATTTCTGGCAGTCTGCAACCCCCCTGAGTTTCCCTTATCTGAAATGCATGGGACCAGAAGTGTTTGGGATTTCAGATTTTTTTTTCTTTTTCATTTTGGAATACTTGTATTTGCACATACAGTCGGCCCACTGTATCCCTTGAGTTTTATCCACGGATTGAGCCATACATATCTTGAAAATATTTCTTTAAAAATGCATTCCAAAAAGCAAGCCTTGATTTTGCCATTTGATATAAGGGACACCATTTTAATACATCATCATATTTAATGGGACTTGAGCAGCCACAGATTTTGGTATCCATTGGGGGGGTGTCTTGAAACCAACCCCCAGTGGATCCCAAGGACCCACTCTATGTAGATAATGAGATATTTTGGAGGTGCAGCCCAAGTCTAAACACAACATTCATTGAGGTTTCATATATGTCTTCTACACATAGCCTAAAGGTAATTTCATACACAATATTTTTAATAATTTTGCGCATGAAGCAAAGTTTGTGCACACTGGAAGCCACCAGAGAGCAAAGGTATCACTATCTCAGTCACCCATGAAAAAAAAAGGTGGGAAAGCTAAAGGCCCTGCAAAACTACAAATCCCAGGATTCCATTGGATGGAGCTACTGCACCTAAACCAGTGTCAAACTGCATTATTTCTACAGTGCAGATGGAGGTTCGGTCTTCTCTTCTCCAGTCCAAACATACCCTGCTCCTTAAGGCTGCATCTGCACTGCAGAAATAATGCATTTTGTCACTGCTTTAGGTGCAGTAGCTCCATTCTATGGACCTTATCACACGGGGCCCAATCCAGACAGAATCCAAAAGAAATCCCGACCTAATACGTATTATTTTCCCGTGTTTCCACATGACGTCGCTCAGAACCCCGACAGAACCCTGACACAATGCGGAATGATCTGAGATCTTTTGAATTTCGGTTTCTTCAGGAATTGCAATTGCATGACGGGAATCATTTCGCTTTTACCGTAAGTATGATCACCAAATACGTATCGTCAAATACGTATTGGGGAGCATTTCCCCGTCATTACCTCCTTGGAGAGCCGGCTCTCCGAGGAAGTCCTCCTTGGAGCGCCGGCCCTGCGTCGGATTGGCTCTCCAAAGAGGACCTCCTCGGAGTGCCGGCTCTCCAAGGGGGACCTCCTGGGAGCGCCAATCTGACGCAGGGCTGGCGCTCCAAAGAGGACCTCCTCGGAGAGCCGATCCGACGCAGGGCTGGCGCTCCAAGGAGGACCTCCTCGGAGTGCCGGCTCTCCAAGGGGGACCTCCTGGGAGCGCCAATCTGACGCAGGGCTGGCGCTCCAAAGAGGACCTCCTCGGAGAACGCTGCGGCGGGAGGTCCTCCTTGGAGCGCCGGCCGTGCGGAGGGCCGGCTGCACTGAGGACGACCTGGGAAAGGGTGACAGCCGCGGCGAGCATAGTGCGCATGTGCAAGAACATCATTGCTTGTTCATGTACGGGATTTTCTCACTTGTGTGTGAACGGCAAATACGGTTCCCGGGAGCGCTTTCCTTAAATGCGCGATGAAGGTAATTGCGTGTGAAAACCATTTGCGGAATGAAGGTTTATTTTCGGTTTCTTTTTGGAATTTGTCATTTCAGGATTATTATCGCTTTGTGGGCCACGTGTGATAAGGTCCTATGGAATCCAGGATTTGTAGTTTTGCAAGGCCTTTAGCTCTTCTCTGCCAAAGAGGGCAGGTGCCTCCCAAAACTACAAATCCCAGGATTCTGTAGGATGGAGCCTTGGCAGTTAAAGCGGTGTCAAACTGCATTAATTCTGCAGTCCAGATGTTATTCCTCCTCTGGACACATTCCAGCCTATTAATCCTTTCCACTGCTGCATGCAAGTGTCTTCATGGCTAGAGTCTTTGCTCCGTGTTACACCGCAGGGAAGGTTTAAACTAAGTGTTGGCAGCATGCACACACATATTTGTGGGTCTTTCCTTCACCTTGAGAAGCATGCTTGCCCTACATACCTTGTGTGCACATTAAATGAAAAACAGCATGGAAACAGTGTGGAAAAAGACATCTTGGGACCACAACTCCTGACTATGCTCATCAGTGGATTCTGGGAGTTGTAGACCCTCAAATTTAACCCCTTCCAGACTTTGTGAAAGATATCCATGTTCACCACCCCCAGCAATCATTTCAGTTATCGTTTAGCTACATTCTTATGTCAACATAGGACATTATCACACGTGGGCCAGAAAACGATAATAAAGTGGAAATGAGGCATTCCGAAAATACCGGTAAATGGAAAATAAACCTTGATTCTGCAAATGGCTTTCACACGTAATTACCTTAATTGCGAATTTACAGTAAGTGCATTTAACGTTCACACACACAAGTGAGAAAAGCCCATAAATGTAGTAGAAATGATCTTCTTGCACATGCGCAGATAGAGGAATGCTCGCCGTGGAATCATGGGAAAAGCAGGGAAATGCTCCCAAATGCGCATTTGCTTTTCACATTACGGTAAATGCGAAATTACTGTAATTTCGTAAATGCATTTCCTCAAAACTACCGAATTTCAAAAGATCTTGGATAACACCAGTTTCTGTCCAGTTTCTGTGCGATGTTGTGTGAAAACGCAGGGCACAAATCCAGTTTCTGTTTGGGATTTGTGTGGATTAACCAGCAGATTTGCCCCATGTAATAACGTCCATATAAAAGAACCCACAAAAGTGGGTTGTTTTTCACATGACATTTGGGGTTAACCCAAACAGAAAGTAGAAATAACCCACAAAAGTGGGTTGTTTTTCACACGTTGGCATCAAGGAGAAACAATACATCATTGCTCCAAATTGAAAGTCGCCAAAACCCACTCCTTTTTTCTTTCGGGAACCTCAAAAAGTAAAAAGGAGCAGGTTTTGGTGACTTTCCATTTGGATTAATGTCGCATTATTTCTCCTTTACACAAACACTTCTGAAAAACAACCTGCTTTTGTAGTCCGCCCCCCCCCCCCAGATTTTTAAATCTTGTTTCTGAATGGGATTTAAGCAATTTGCCTCCATGTGATAAGGTCCATAGTTTCATGGGTGACAGGAGCCAAAGCTGTGGAGTCAAAAGATGCATCCACACTGCAGAATTAAAGAAGTTTGACACCAATTTTACTGCCATGATTCTGTCCTACAGGATCCTGGGATTTGTACTTTGGTGAGGTATTCAGCCTGGTCTGTCAGAGAGCACTGGTGCCAAAGTGTATGTTTAGCCTGGAGAAGAGGAGGTTAAGAGATGATAGGATAACTCTATTTCAGTATTTGAACGAGTGTCATATTGAGGAAGGAGCAAGTCCTAGTAGACCACAAGTTGAACATGAGTCAACAGTGTGATGCTGCAGCTAAAAAGGCCAATGTAATTTTAGGCTGTATCAATAGAAGTACAGTATCTAGATCAAGGGAAGTAATAGTGCCACTCTATTCTGCTTTGATCAGGCCCCACCTGAAATAATGCTGTATCTAGTTCTGGGCACCCCAATTCAAAAAGGATTTTGAGAAGCTGAAGCGTGTCCAGAGGAGGGCAACTAAAATGGTGAAGGGTCTGGAAACCAAGCCCTATGAGGAATGATTTAGGGAACTGGAGAAGAGAAGGTTAAGAGGGGACATGATCGCCCTGTTTAAATATTTGAAGGGATGTCATATTGAAGATGGAGCAAGC